GAGCCGAGCGGCTCTTCATCATCCTGACCACAATGCCTTCGGATCCCAGAGCGGCTCCCTGGACTGCATCAGAGCGCTAGCCGCAGCTCCCTTGTACGCAGCAGCCTGTTCTTCCCTATGGGAGGATGCGGCCGTATGCACACCCGAACTGCACATCCATGCGGGTGTCTGTGCTCGGACACAGACAGGATCCATCCTGTCTGTGTATGAGTATGGACACCCGCACGGACGTGCAGGGTGGGTAAGCGTAGGGCAGAGTACGGCCGCATCCCTTCATAAAGAAGAACAGGCTGCTGCGTACAATCACACGCAACACCTGTCCTTTCCGGGAACGACCCCTTACGACCATGCATGCCGCATGGAACTGTACAGGGGGGCTCTAAGCTGAATGAGGCCTAATAGTGCAACCTGTCGGAAGCCGCGCCCAGCAACTTGAAAGGTTACGCAAAATGTCTTGAACAGGCAGGGGTGGGACAGATTTAGATTGAGGGGGTTGCCGAATTTCGTCTTGCCTAGGGCAGCACAAAACCTAAATACACGTGTGTGTGTGTACGTACACACACACAAAAATGAGAATATATCTATATATACACATACATAGGTGCGGGTGGATGGAGGGAGCGGTGCCACCTTCGCAGCCTGCTCAGTCCGGGTACTGACGAGATGCCCCGTCTCCTGCAGAGCCCGCAATGTACTGAGAGCCGCGAATTCCTTGTGACACCCGCTGCTTGAGACAGTCAGAGGCAGCCCTGGAGCCTCTGTGCTGCTTCAATGACGGGCCAGCCTGCACGGCATCAGAGGGGCCCAGGGACCACCAAACTTTTCTTGCGGACCACCGGTTGACGACCGCTGGTATATATGGTGTATAAGGGCCGTTTATGATATATAGAGGTCGTAGATATGGTGTATAAGGGTGGTTTATTATATATAGGGGTGGTATATATGGCGTATAAGGGCCGTTTATAATATATAGGGGGTCATCTATAGGGCGCATAGGGGCCCTTTATGATGTATTGGGGTGGTATATATGGTATATACGGGCCCTTTATTATATATAGGGGTGGTATATATGGTGTTTAAGGACTGTTTATGATATATAGGGGTGGTGTGTGTGTGTGTAAATGTACATATATATATATGTGTGTGTGTGTGTGTATTATAATGGTTGCTTTGAAAACATACACTATCCAATGTTATACATACAAGATTCCTTCTCGAATTTTTGCACAGTCCCATAAAGAATTGTGCACTATGTGAACACAGTCAAAGATCCGCTTTGTTTGAAGAGCCAATGCTATGAGTCCCCGGACATAACAGACATTACACCTAATGCATTTTTAGGGAACAAGTTCAGCGAGGGTATTAATATAAAAGAAGTTCTTGCATTATTAAATTACTTGCTCAAGGTCATTGGGAGTAAACCTCCAGCCCTCCCCGGCCAATGAATGAAACACATTATTCAGCTTCCACAACTCTTAAGCCGTGTGGATTTCCAGATGGGGGATGACAATGCGGATGAAGGAGCACAATGGCACCGTGCGCTATCTATGAAGCGTATGAATGGAGATCCTCCGAGGAGCCGCATTAGGCACGATGCTCCAGCGATCTCAGGTTCTCTTCACCTCCGGATGGAATCACCCTTCTCTCTGTCTCATCAATGAATTGCCGGAGCAGCGAGTCCACCCACCGTACCAAGCGCGCAGGGAGGGGGGTGATCCCTGATTGAATTGGATAAAGGGCCGTCCTCGGTTCATTGTGCTTTGTGGGTCCCTCTATCCTCGGTTCACCCCTCCTCCTCCTCCTCCTCCTCCACTTGCACTTTCTTCCCTTCTTCTCTCCTGCACTGACAGCGATAGACGGGGGAGGTAGAGGAGAGAGGGATGACCTCATCTCTTTCCCCATCCGCCGGTGGAGGAGGGCTGTGGTCCAGGCAGTGTGGCTGCAGGGTGAGCAGACAGGCGGCGCTCTGCTCGGCCCGGCCCACCGTGCACGGCTGTAACGGGGAGCGAGAAGAGGAGGCGGAGGGAAGGGGAGGGGGCCGGAGGAAAGGAGCGCTGTCACATAAAGGAGGGATTCTCTCCCTCTCTCTCTCTCCTCTCACCCCTAATACCCATCGCTCATTTTTTTTACCCCCTTTTTATTTTTTTTTATTCTTTTTTTTTTTGGATATCCCCTTCTTTAAATCATCATGGCCGCTAAGTCGGACGGGATGCTGAAGATGAAGAAGAACGACGTTGCCTTCACCCCTTTGCAGAACTCGGATCACTCGGGCTCCGTGCAGGGATTGGTTTCGGGGTCGCAGCCGGGCTCGGGCGCCGGGGACGGGGGATGCTCGGACGGAGGTTCCCGGTGCTGCT